TATATATATATATATATATATATATATATATATATATAATATAAATAATAACTATCTCAAATAGTTTGCGTTTTATTTCAGTTTAAAGATGCGACGCTCAATTTGGATAAACAAAACCCTATATAATACATTATATTTATTTTAGAGTACCCTTCTGATCGGCAGATATATGCCAAACTTGTCAACTGCCACGAATACTGAGAAAATCGCTCGTAAACACTCTAATTCGAAAATATCCACGAAAAACCACCCCTATTCGACAAACTTCGTCGAGCACCGGCCGATCCAAACTGCTGCCGCCATACTACTCGATAACCTCTGCTCTCACCGAATTCAGCAGACTGTTGCCTTGACATTGAACCATCCTGGCCGCCGTAATCGGCCGAAGGAACCAACCCTTAATCGCTCCAGCTCGAAACAGTCCGAAACTAACCGGCCCCGACAGAGACAGCCGCGCTCGCTGGAAAGTCGAATTTATGAACGCAGAATCGATTGTTAGCCTCGGAAAAAGGAGACGTAGGGGTGTCGGCGAGTCGTGGGCGGGCGGAGCGAAGTGGATCGTCTTCTCCTGGCGAAAAGGGAGGGTGGTCCTTCTTTTTTCCCAGGGGAAAGTTGCCGGGGCCCGGAGTCGTCTCCTTGCTGGATCGCCTGGCCGCCGCTGTTTCCTCGAGAAACGACGACAAGATGGCACTGAAAATCAATGGATGTGTCTCGTCCTCCCTCTGCCGCCCTCCCGCCGCGCTGCCCACCCCGCCGGTCGCTCTCTTTGTCACTCTTTCGGCCGCTCATTTGCCCGTTCGTTTCCCTCCCCGACCCTCTTCAACGATCGTTTCTATTCTCTTTATCCGTTCTAAACCGTGCGCCGGCACTCTTTCGCTCCTGCAACCCCCCCGTAAACCGCCCCTCGGCAACCCTCTCTCAGTCACTCATTGCTATGGTTACGTTCCTCGGTGCACACCCGACCGTCCTCACCTAGATTCTATAATCTATAAGTCCGCCAGGTACGCGGCCGGTGCAACGGTGCAGTCCGACAGAGATTTTCGGCTCCCTGGAACACACCCCCGAACCGTTGGAATTGCCGCGGTGCTCGAGGTACGGTCTTTTTCGCTCGGGTCAGCCTGTGCGTAGATCGTTGCTGGCCCATCGGCCGGTACGCTCTTCCGCCATATTGGAATCGCGGACGGAAAATCGGCGGAGATTGTCGGGAATCTTGCGCGGGAAGGGTTGACAGTTTAGCTTCGATTCACGGTGCGAGGCTTTCTGGGTGATCATGGATGTTTCCAGATGTCACTATAGTTTACCGGATGTCACTAGATCCTGGATTTTTATAACGTGCACGAGATAGAAGACTTTTTGGCACGAAGGAATTCGATTTGATGGCGGTTAGGATAGTGGAGTCGCTTACTGAGGGGTTCTTATTGAAGAATAAACAAAATAAAGTGCCTCGTCATTGAAGATAATGTTAAGTTAAATTTGTCAATAGATAAGTTTATGATTTGATAAGTTAGATGAGCTGTTAAGTTAAGGTTAAGATGTGGAATAATAATATGAATAATGCGAATAAAGATATTTATAAAAAAAAAGAAAAAAAGAATAGAAAAATTTAATATAGTTTATTCCATAAAGATAAAGTTTATTATGCTGAAAACAAACCAAAGACACAGTAATTGGTCAGCCTACAGTAAGCGGATTCACTACTCTGAGGAAAATATTGGTTTATATGTTTCCGTGGGAATTTTGCAATTTTATTAGGCTCAGATTGGAGGTGAAAGAGTCAATTTCCAGATGAAATTATTTTAATTTCAGTGAAAATTCGAGACATGCCGGAGAATCGACTGTTTCCATTCCCAAGATCGCAAACAATATTTAAATTGATAACTTCTAAAATCTTGATAGGTATTTTCGTACCGACCTTAAAATGTCTTTCAAATGACATTTTTTCATTTTATTCAGCTTTAATTGAAGCTAGAACAGTCAGTTTTAAGATAAGATCATTTAGGTTTCAATAAAAATTTGATGTAATGTCATAAAATCGACTTTTTCCATTCCCTGGCACGGAAAAATTATCTATGGACGTTACGTCTGAAATCTTAAGGGGTAACAAAAGATCGATGAACGACTGTTTTCCCGTGGAAAATTTTTATGTTTGTGGAGTTCAAATTAAAATTCGAAGAGTCTATTTTGAGATAGGGTGATCTTTGTTTCGAGAAAACTGTAGTATCACGTCAAAAGATTGCAAAAGTCTGAATCTAGAACTCGGAAAAGGATGATTTGAAAGATATCTTCGGAACAATTTTAACATGTCTTCACGTAGAAATTTGTGAACTTTGTTCATCTCAAATTAGAGCTTGAAAAATTCGCTTTAAGTTAAGGTAATTTTGATTCGAATAAAAATTTGAGATCATTTGGGAAAATCGAATTTTCCCATCTTCCAACGCGAGAAAGGTACCCAGAGAGGTCGCTTGCAAAATCTCGAACGGTAACTTCAGATCGATTTTAAAATGCCATCCCGTGGAAATGTTTTAACTTTATTCAGCCCAAATTTCAGCTTAAAGAATCCACTTTAAGACAAGGTAATTTTGACTTCGATGAAAATTTGAGATCATTCGAGAAAATTGAATTTTCCCCGCTCCCAAAATCGGAAAATTGTCTAGACAAGTAACTTATACAATTTATAGAGGTGACTTTAAATCGATTATTAAAATATCATGCCGCCTAAATTTTTTTAACTTTATTAGCCTCGAATTGAAGCTACAAGAGACCTTTTCGAGATAGAGTAATCTTGATTTCCTACAAGATTCTAAATCTGGCAAAAAAATTGCTTCATTTCGTTAATCGGGGCGCAGACAGAAACTCTGTTCCCATTTTTGGTACTTGTAATTATAAATTATATTTCCAGAACTTATGGCAGTGTCCTTAAAATTGGTACTGATATTTTCGCATGAATTTGCAGGTGGGTTAGGGTACAAAGCGTATTCCGGGCACGACGGTTTAGCGGAGAAGAGGAAACAGCGTCGAATACGGACAACGTTCACCTCGGCCCAGCTGAAAGAACTGGAGCGTGCCTTCCAGGAGACTCATTATCCAGACATTTACACCAGGGAAGAAATCGCTATGAAGATCGACTTAACGGAAGCCAGGGTCCAAGTGAGTACAAACATTATACATACACTTCCATCAATCACGCTGGCTCCAAAAATCACTCGAACGCACAAATCCTCATAATTCCATAAAAAGGAAATAATACGACAATGGAATTAGGCTCGTTTTGATACTTGAAGTCTCCACTTTCCATAGATTATTCTATATTCGAGTTTTCTGTACGATATAGCGGGTGGGAAACTGAAAACAGGTCTAGGAAATTGTACGAATTTTTCAATTTTCCTAAAAGAGACTAGATTATCTTTATTGTTACTGAATTTGTTACAGAATTGAAGATCGAGATTTTGCATTTAAATGGATTAATTTAGGATTGATCTAGGGTTTAACTAGGATTTATTTAGTATTTAATTGGCATTTATCTGGCGATTAGCTAGGATTTATCCAAGATCTTTTTTGGTCGTTTTATTTATCACTTTCGAACGAGGGTGCTCCAAAACAAATCTAACGATATTGAAGAAGGAAAAATAAAGGTCTTATATTTGCCTATTACCTATCTGACAGTCTTCTTAATTGTTTGCAAACCGCCGGCTAGCTCAAGAATCTTGAATTAATCATGGATCTGCATTATATTATTGCCATTGTGTATTAAAATTTGAAGTTGATTTTTGAAGTAGAGTAACAGATTCCACAATTATGATCTAGAATCCCCTAGTATTCTTTTTTAGAGGTTATGTCAAGATTATTTTATAAAGTTATATGACTGCAAAGTTACAGAGAGTTACATGGTAAACGTCACAGTTGGTGCATCAAAATTGTGTAATGGCGGGAAAATATCTCCATATAGTAATTGAAAAAGAAAATAATTCCTAAATTGTGTTACTGTTTTTCTTTTTATCATTAGAAAGTAATATAGTGTTTTGTGAACATTATAATTAGTACTGCAAACTTATGAAGTAGCGAGAAAATTTCTTGGTTTACAATGATTTAGTCATTCAAAATGTACTACCATAGATTCGACAATTAATTCCTAAACAGTGATACTGTTTTTTAATGATCATGTTATCCATTTTATGAAGTAATACAATGTTTTGTAAACATTATAGTTAGTACATCAAACTCATGAAATATAGCAAGAAAATTTCCTAGTTCACAGTGATTTAGTATTTGCAAAAGTACTGCAACGGATTCAACAATCAATTCTTATTTCGTGCAACTGTGTTTGTTAGAGGTTATGTTATCTATTTTATAAAACTATCATAGTGTTTTATAAACATTACAGCTGGCACTCGAAAGTCATACAATGGCGGGAAAATTTGCCAGTTCAAAAATGTAAATATTTATTCTAATTCTGAACGCATAACATTTGTCTCGAGTAACAAATTTATCGGCGACAATCTCGGCAATCTCGCGAATCAAATAATTCGTTAACGCCGCCATTCTGACGGATCTCCGGTGAAGCTGGCGCTAAGGATCGTTCAACGAAGAGATCCGTGGGATAAGTTCGGTGTGTTCGGACACGGGGCTGGTTTCTTCCTTTCGGTTTTAACCTCGCGGAGGTCCTCCCTCCGGCGTCGGACAAAATGGAGGCTCGGGAACGGAGAGGGACAGAGGCAATGGCGGATCAGGGCCGCCTCGCCGGCACTGTAATCGCATTACCGGGCACCCATTTTCGTTTTCACGGTTACCTGGAAGTCGCTGCTTGATGGATTACGCCGTCCAACGTCCCTGACGGATTAACTTGAACTTCTTGCGCGGGAACGCGCAAGAGATTCACGCCGGATGATCTTGGCCGCGGAAACGATCGAACATGGGGAAACTTATGATCGAATCAGTGCATTATCTTGGCACGTATTCGACGAGGCACGACTCTCTATCGATTCCGCGTCGAAAACTTCAGTTCGTTCTCTTGGCTGATCGGAAACATTTGTTTGTATCGTTTCTGTGTTATACTTTCATTATCCAATAATTAGATCATTCCAATAATCAGGAATACTTCGTACCTGCTTCGTTTTATGCTATTTTTGTAACAAAAGATTGTTAGAATCGTTCGTCTTCTTCGTTTTGCAATTCAGGATGATTCGAATTCTTAATTTCCATCGTTCTGCGTTCGTTTCGAATTCGGGACGATAACAATTTTTCATCTCCATGGTTTTGTATATAAATTTTCATATCTTGTAATGATTAGAATCATTTATCTTTATCTCTCTGTCTTGTAAGTTTTATTGTTCGAGGTGATCAAGGAGATTTATAACTCAGCATGATTAGAATTGTTTATATTCATTCATCGCTCTGTGTTCATTTATTCTAATTTAGGAGGATTACATTGGATTCTCTTCATTGTTCTGTTTTGATTTTATTCACACACATGTGTTAACGTATTATTTTATTTTATAGTCGGGACGATAACAAAATTTATCTGCATCGCCTTTATGCTTTCATTATCCAATAATTAGTTAATTCTAATAATCACACAGAAATATTTATCTGCTTCATCTTTTGCCATTTTTATAACTCTGGATGCTAAGTATTGTTCCTCTTGATAGTTCGAAGGTAATTTTACAATTCTGAATGATTTAAATTGTTTATTTTCATCGTTCTGTGTTAATTTTATAATTCACGGCGATTAGAATTGTTTATTTCCACCGTTTAGAGTTAATTGGATCAATTGAGATATAATTTCTTGCCTTTTTTTCTCAATATCACAGTCAGTAAGCGACCGATGACGACGATTCACTGGTCCTATCATTTATTAGAATGATTTTGGATCTTTTCATTTGACTGTTCACACGAGAATGTTCGGAAAATGTTGTTAACGATATAGCGGACCTCGTTGCTTCCACGTTTAAAATTGCAACGAGCAAGTAGATAACAATGAATTCTCGCTAGATACGCTTATTTTATTACCAGTGCGAAGAAATTTCAAGGAGAAGTGGTTAACAATATCCAAAACCTTGCTGCGAATTTTTTAAGAGTTTGAAGAAAAGAACAACGAATTGTCACTACAATAAATTCTCCTTAATTGACGCTCAGCTTGTACACAAAAATGGACAGAAGCGTCTTTTAGAATTGGATTTGACAATTAATTCCTAGATTTTACTACTGTTCTTTGGAGGTTATGTTATCTATTTTATAAAGTTATGTAGTGTTCTAAAAACATTATAGATGGCATTTAAAACTCATAAAATAGAGGGAGAATTTCCCAATTTAAAGTGATTTAGTAATTGAAAATGTACTGCCATGCAGACTTTGCTACTGTTTTTGGAGGTTATGTTATCCATTTTATAAAGTTTTATAGTATTCTAGAAACATTACAGTTGGAACTTCAAACTTACACAAAGGCGGGAAAATTTCCCAGTTTAACAACAATTTCGCAACCGTTTGTCAGCGACTATAAAAACAAGCCGCAAGGCTCAAATAATCTCATCTCCTCTTCCCAAATTCTCCATTATTGTTTCCAATCTGAGCGTCAATTAGGGAGACTTTACTATACATACATCGACCACTAAACGATGCATCCAGCATAACCGCAACAAAAAACGGGAAAACTGAAATAACGATAACAATTCAACACTCCCCCGAAAATTACAAAATCCAGCAGTGGACATGTAAACGAAGCTGTACCGGCGAGACTTAAATCTTCCGCGCCGCCATTTTGTCTGGCCAGCGGAGCGTCCGAAGCGGATATCAATGAAATAATTAATCGTCCGATGAATGGATCGAAAAATCCTCGGCACTTGAGACAAATGGATTCAAGGTGAATGACTCTCCTCTCCTCTCTCCCCCCGCCTTTCCTCTCCCTTATCGGCTCATGTTCCTCAGACTCCCTGTAAACTTCATGCATGGATCATGACACCGGGTGGCTTCCGGCGACGAAGCCGTTAGTGTCTAACGGATCCAAAAATAGTCGAGATCTCGATGGGCGAGCAACGCGAGCAACCTTCCCGATCCCCGGGAAGTCTCGTGTAATAATAATCGTAATTGCCAATCAGGACCCGGTTATAATTAATCTGGACTATAACGTCGCGCGGTGTAGTAGACCCGTCGAGATTAAATATATTGCGTCTTCCATGGTCGCCGGACCGACTGCACATGTTCATTACTTGAATGAACGTCGGCGAGCAGATTCATCAGGTAATTTCGGAAGTATGTATTCTTCATTACTGGAACGCTGTTTTATTAATGCCGCCTTAATCGCTTTAATCGATCGAACGGAGGAATCGTTGATCGCGTTCGTTCGGAATTATGGACGTTTTCATTGTTCTCGGTTGGATTTGTTGTTACGCCATTTTTAATTTTAACGCTTTCCGCGCATTTTCTCGGTTTGTAAAATAGGTGACATAATTTCTAATTGGCACTACCAGTGTACAAAATTCAATCATCGAAGCTATTAGACACTTTTTTTAATATTTACATCATTTTAAACACCTTCTCGATGTTTGGAAAATTTCCTAAATCATTTTAAATTTAAATATGTGTATAATTAGTAATAAATATATATTAAGTAGAATATAATAGTACATATAATAAATATATATTAAATATTATATAATAATAAATGTAATAATATATATATTTTAAATATAATATAATAATAAATATAATAAATACTTATTAAATGTAATATAATAATAAATATAATAAATATATATTGAATATAATATAATAATAAATATAATAAATATATATTAAATATATAATTTCAAGTACCAAACGGAGTCTTGGAACTTCGAGAACAATTATCAAATGAAATAATGGCAGTTGGTGGGATTAAAATGTGCTGGCCTTGGTGAATGATTGATCTCGTCTAAGTATGATTTTTTAATGAGGGTACTAGGCTCCGATAACGTAATGCGAGCATGTTCCAAGACATTTTGGTAGTGGACCTCGGAACACGAGTTGGGGAAGATTCGATCCGACAAAGGACTACCCTCCTTCGTCAAGGTGAACCTCCTTGGAAATGGCGGTCGTCCCATGACGCCGCAAACTACTAGAAAATTGATAGAAACTTCGTGCTTAATTATCACGCGCACGTTTCGGAATTTACA